AAGGGTCTAGGCCCGAAACGTCAGCCTCTCTGCTCCTATCATGCTGCTTGGCCTGCTGTGTTCATCCAGCCCTGCACCTTGTTGTCATTGGATAGACTGGGTTTGTTTTCACTGAAATGCAGGAGGTTGAGGGTGACCTGATAGAAGTTTATAAGTTTGTGAATGGCATAGATAGAGTGGAAATGAGGCTTTTTGCAGGGGTGGAGGGGTCAATTACTAGGGGACACAGGTTCAAGGTATGGGGAAGGCAATGTTTAAAAGAGATGTGCAAAACAAGTTTTGGTGGAAGTAGGCACAATAGCAGCATTCAAGAAGTACTTGAACAAATACATGAAAAGGAAGGGAGTAGAGGGATATGGGTGCTGTAAATGAAGATAATTTAAAATGGGCGGGTAAAATGTGAGGGCAAAGTTTTGGGAGGGCTGAAGGGCCTGTTCCTCTCCTGTATAGTTTTTTTTTGTTCTAGGTGGTTGTTCCTACACTGACCTTTCTGTTTCATGCCAGCTGCAGTGCTCCAACAAGGCTCAGTGCAACCTCGAAGAATAGCATCTTATTTTTCGCTTGCAGTCTCTAGGATTCAACATCTGGTTCAATAATTTCAGAGCCTGATTACACCCTTCCATGTTTTTTTACCCACCCCTACACTGTGGTCCTGTCAGGACATGGTTTCTTTCAACACAGCAGACCCATTCTCACACAATCTTAGTCCAATTATCACATTATACCCATTCACTCTCACTATCAGTTTTTCTTTTTCCTGGCTTACTATCAACAATCCCCGTATCTGCCTATCCTTTTCAAATCTCTCCCTCTGGGCTCCCCACTGCTTTCAGTTCTGATGAAGAGTCACCGAATTCAAAACGTCAACTGTGTTTTCACCTCAAAGATGCTGTCAGGCCTGTTTCTTTTCTTTCAGATCTCCAGCTTCCGCAGTTCTCTGTTTTATTTTATTGTCATGTTATATGATTACTTCCCCTAAATCGTCCGCTTTACTTTTTCTGCCCCACTTATAATTTCACTTTGATAGCAAATGAAACGTACACACACGAAACATTTTTGCCTAATGTGCCTTTCTCTGGCATTTACCTGAAGAAGGTGCCGCTATTTAAATAATGTCTCCAATAACATACTGCAACGGGATGTTCGAGTCAGTTTGCAAGCATCAGTGCATTAATAGCACATGGCATTTTCCAAAGCATTTGATGTTTTTTAAGTGAAATCGCTGACAGGTCATAGCCTGACTCCGAGAGAAAACAAAAACACCCTTGAACGTCCATGGATGTGACGTCGACTTTCTTAGCATTTATAAAGTATACATCCCGAATTGAATTAAATGTCGAGAGTGAATTGCTGTAACTGCGCGTGCGCAGAGTTTTGCAGAGGTCTATTTGCAGCTAGGCTGGGACAAATATTATTACAGATCAGAAATAATTCCTTCCTGCATCGCTAAGTTTATAGTTTCAAAATCAAACAAAAATAATTTCTGCTCACATTAGTCAGAGTACCCATCGAAGAAAGCCTCCTTTTAATATTGAATCCCTGTTAAACGATTTGCTGTGAAGCATGTTTTAATTGTACTTTTATTTGCCTAAACTCCAAAATAATTTATAAATTCAGATGAAATGACAGAAGAAAACAGCTAAATAAAGGGGGCGAGGGGAGAAATTAAACTCAAGACGATTGAATTAATGGACAATTTAACGTCAATCTCCTCACACGGTAAATAAAACTGTTGTCAATTACTGCTGGTCTGAGTTCTAAATCATTTTACAGCTAATAATTATGATTGATTCAAATAAATCCAGACACATTTCGAGCCCCTGCTTCCTTTCAAAAAACAAAGAGACTGCGAATCAGTGCAAGATATTTATCACCGAGTATATGAACAACGCCCGAAAGAATTCATGGGGGTAGAAATGAGGGAGGTGACTCTGTAACTCTGGTGTCAGTTCTGAACGTAAGCAATGCTCCACATACAACTGCTCTACAGCAAGCGGAAATTTGACTCACAGTGAACCCTATCGCAATGCCCTTGTGTGGAAAGAAGCTCTACGAAGATCTACCGATTTAAAGTTGAACAGAATCTATACAATTACTTGATATTTTAGGAAGTTCCTTGCATTTAGCATGGAAAAAGAAAAATCTATGGCTATTGTTCTACTGTAGCTACCAACCTCAGATCCTAATGTGAAACGACACCGGAGTTAAATCACCAGGCCATGTCAAGGTGATGTAGAACGTTATCCTCATAGGGAGTGATCACCTATTAGCTTTGTTTGGAGCTGACTCTTAGGATTTTACAATCAATATTATGTTGCTTCAAATTGGACATCACTTTGCAATGACAGAAAAGATGTTCTGTTAAAGCATCTATAGTTCTGAAGAAGGGTTACTGGACCTGAAACATTAACTCTGCCTTCTCTCCACAGATGCTGCTAGATCTGCTGAGTTTCTCCAGCAATTTCTGTCTTTATTACGGTTCTTGGCGATTAACTGGTAACATGGATTTCAGAGGTGTGGCCACTGGTGGGCCACATCATACGTCAATGCAAAACCGATCTGTGTATCTTCATTCTGCTTATAAAACAAGATAAACGTTAACCTCTTGGATTATTTGAGTCAACTTTTGCCAGGCTATGCATAGATACATCCTCTAACTGTGCAAGCAGTGTTGCAATTTGGTCAAATTATTGTTTAACTTTAATTACCTCAACAAAATCTTAATTAAACACTGCTCAAGTTGTGTTTGGTTGGAACGAGCGGTATTATAGGACGGCATTAATTCTGTACCATAAACCAACACTGAAAACTTCTACTCGCTCACATTAACATTTGACTTCTTTTTATCTTCCGAATGTATTTTTTAAAAAGACTAACACATTTTTACACCTATATAGGTGGCTGGGAAACACTGTCGTTAATTCGTACCTGATGCCTGTCTACGGCGATGGCTGTCAGGGTGAGGGTGGAAACATATAAAGAACAGTACTGGGCGAAGCGGCTAATGTGACACATGCCCTGTCCGAAAACCCAAGTGCTATTAACGAACCGAACCTGTCAAATCAAAAATGCCAGAAGGTTATTCATATAACACTTCTTATACTCGAAACTCTTCATGCCTGTCAGGAGTAAGCGCTGGTCTTCTGGAAGAGTTAGGGTACAAGTGTACAACTTTAAGAACGGAAAGGTCAAAACGCATCTCTTTGCACTGCTGCATGAATTATTTAACAATTGACATTATATTGCATATACAATACTTTATCATGTATTTTGTTAATACTTGTTAAAAGTTATCGCGAATGCATTTGCGCCTCTGCATGCCTCTATTAAGCAGAATTAGCCAAATTTAAAAGTAATTTTGGCGCAATTTTGTATTTCAACCGGAATGCTATTTACTATATGTTGCTTGGTTGGATTTACATATGCCAATCGTTTCCGTGTCAGATTTCCGGAAATTAAATCAAAACATGTGTAAAATAACAAAACAAAACTATGCTTGTAACGTACGCATGTTTTAAGTGGCATGTTGAAAGGGCGCGAATGAAGTTTTTCAAGTAATCCGTAGGCTCTGATGATTAAATACGACAGTCAGAAAGTCACGATTAAACTTCAACGTTTTAAGTGAGATTCAAAATACAGTGAAGATCCGGATTGGGGTGGGCGGAAAAGTCGTAACAAGGTGAGCACGTCGCAGAGCTGGGAAAACCTTTTAGAGACATTTTTAAACATCACCAATACTTGATTGGTATTAGAAGGGCGTATACGGCTCTGATTTATTTACCATGGTGGTCAGGTAAACTGGATGACCATTTGTATATTCGTGCATAACTATAAAGTAGAAGAAAATTCATACCATATTTAATGTCTTAACTAGTCTTCAAGTATTACATCTGCTTCCATGGCAGTTGCAGATATCTTCCAATCAACCTGTTTAGAGACATTATTATGCACCTCTGGAACAAGTGCGGCTTGAACACAGGCCACTTGACCCAGAAGAAACACTACCAAGGTGCTTTAACAGTCCGCATCCATGGCGGTGGTATTGTAATTATGTCCAACCAAATTTTGGTCCCCCGTTGAATTAGCTCCTGATGTGGCTGGATATCAGTTCGTGGCTGATAACGCTCGAGTGGAGCGTGGAATACTTTGCTATATTAAAGGCGCTACATCAACACAAGACGTTGTTTACATTCCTGCTTTTGTGTAACCTTTTCAGTATACATGGAGAACACAAGAAATAAAGTTTAATAATACATCCCAACTAATAAAGAGTCTTACCAGGGTAAACGGAGTGTTAAGCAGAGTGATCATGATGTCTGCTCCGGCCAGATTAACAATGAACAGACTGGTGGCAGAATGCATCCGCTTGTTCTTAACTACCACCTGGCACACAAGGATATTTCCAAACAGAGAGATGACTATAATAATCGAGTAGGCTACTATAAGCAAAGATTTTACGTTTGCATTTTGGGATTCCGCCTCGTATTTTGCCGAGTCCACAAAGCTCTCCCAATCGTCCAGAGTGAAGTTACCCCAGGGAAGGAAAATCGATCTGTTAGACAGAACGAATGTCTCGGGAAGACTGGAGTTAAGCAAGTTGTCTGTTCTTTGAAAAGCCTTGGCTAAATAGTGAAGAGAGGGCCACACGTAACGGGTCATTATTCAAATATGTTAAAATCTCCTTTGTCTTTTAAACATCTCAGATTTTGGCAAAATCCTGCCCTTTGTTGCTTTCTGAAAAGTTGCTACGCTGCAGGCATCAGCGCTGAATTAGGAATCATTCCACCAACCATTCAAATCTCTCGCTTTGTAGCTCGGAACTCCCTACGACGCCGTGACAAAGTGCTGAAGATTTGCTGAATTTGTGGGCTGTTGGTTTGCGTTTCAGTCGCAGAGTATTCGCGCAGTGCGCTGATCGAACATTCTGCTGCTATCTAGTGACTGTTCTGTCAGTTTGTTTTATATGAACCAGGCTGAAACCCACGCACATGGTGACACCTACTTGCAGCCAATTGATGCTTCGAGTTTATCTAATACAGTGACGTCTTTTCTTCGTCAAAGAACGATTTTCTGCTTTTGGATCTGCATCGCAACTTGTCGTGCTTCAGGTTCTCTTCACAGTGCTGGTTATATATCATTCCCTTTCAAATGGATAGTGGGTAGTTCTTGCTATTTCTGAATGGGTATTTACATTTCGTCTTTTCCCATTTGGTGATTCGCAATATATTTTATCCCTTCTCTCATTTTTACTTTCACCTTGAACAATAAAGTACAACTATCGCAAAAATGGAACGAGCACGATTATTTTGTCACCCTTTACTGGAACCTAGCTGACCGGTAACTTTTAAAAGAGGAGAACCACCTCACATTCTCTGTCAGGTTCTGTTTGTCTATTTATAATCACTCCTCGCTAACGTTGGAGTCAGATGTGGGGGGTGGGGTGGGGAAGAAACATTGACTGAAGGCAAGGAGGATTCTCTTCGATGCCCTGCGTCACCCCGAGACGAGATAACATCTTTTTAAATTGCAGTCGGTTTTCCCTGCATTTGAAAAACACTAACCAAATTCGAGAACATCTTGTTTACCGCTTGTTATTCACACAGAAGCAACTCCCGTGTTCTCAAATATACATTTTGGCTGGCTGTTTTGGGGTGCACGGAAGAGGAAATCCTGAACACTTGCCTGCCTTCTTCGCCTTTACCTCGCAGGATAAGACCATAATGCGGCCGAACTAATAGTTAAGGCCAGACATCGTAAGACCCATAGTCTGCTTTGACTCCAAGTCTGGGTTTAATAAAGGTGACCTCTGAGACTCCGGTAATTGCCAAAAGTGTAAATAACGAAAAAAAGTCTGTGGGTGCTGGAAATCAGAATTAAAAGCAGAAATTGCTGGGTAAACTCAGCAGGTCTGGTAGCATTTGAGAAGAGAAAGCAGAATTAACGTTTTGGGTCTATTGACCCTTCTTCAACCACAGATGCTACCAGACCTGCTGAGTTTTCCGGGCAATTTCTGGTTTTTTTGCGGAAAGAACGTCTTTTTAAGGATTAGCTTCCGCTGTTATTAGCTCGTGGGATTTTAGAGGCCCTGTTTAATATCGAGATAACAACGTGTGGAGCTGGAGGAACACAGCAGGCCAGGCAGCATCAGAGCAACAGGAAAGCATACGTTTCGTGTCGGGACCCTTTTTCAGAAAATGTTTTCTATAGAAACTGGAGTACTATATCTTCCTCAAGACGATTCTAGTTGGTGTGATGGTTGCAGCCCAATGCTATTTTCACTTCTGTCACTGCTGCAAACAATTTGTGAAAATAATCCTGACCAAGGTGTTGTCATTATTTGTACATTTAATTAATTTGCAGCTAATCCTCTGAACTAAACTGTGATGTAACTGTGCCCTCAATAGCCATGTGCTAGCACTCTGCTAGAAGGTTGGAACCTCTACTAATGTTTTTCTCTTGATCTCATTCCAATTACAATCACTTGTAATTTATTACAGGGTTCTATAGTCAGGGGTAATAACTCAATGTGTACAACTCAGGACACACACAATGCTCGGCAACATCCTGGTCAAAGCTACCTGCTGACCGACCAAATTACAACTGAAACCAATATCCATTCCCTGCACCACCATGACCTCAATATACCAATGAATACATAAACAATTGTCTGTGGAGCTTGTTTCTTTGTAGCCTTACTATCATATGAAGTTGGTTAATAAATGTCACCTGAAAGCAGCTCAGAAATCTGACCTAAATGTGTATGAAGATCCAAAGGCTGTAATAGGAGTGGTGGAGATATCAGTCTAAAAGAGACATTGCTTTTCTCTGAGGAATCTAAACAATCATAAGGCAAAAACAGCCATCAGTTGAGAAAGCACAAGGGGAAAAAAAATCTTCAGAGAACTTCCCAAATTCAATGTTTGAGGATTATCTAAGGTGAGGTGTACACTGAAGTGGCAATATCTCTGTGCCAACTGAAGAGTGACTACCTCTTCTGAAGTTCTTTGATGGTATCAAATGACTGATATCACATTTTCATAAAAACACAAAAGCCTTAGATTTCCAGCTGAATGAGTAACAGCTCCAGTTTAGTAATTTCCTGTATACAGTGGGCCCCTTTGCTGATGGATCCTTATTTGACAACGCATTGATGAAAGCTCAGCAGATTTTCAGTCAGTCCAAGTAGCATTCAATTTTATTTTAGTGCCAAGAAGAACATTGTTATTTCAACCAGCAAGCCTTGCAGCTCAGGGAATTGGCAGATTCCGTTATTCATGGTTTATATAGATTGACTAGTTCATGCAATTATGAGAATTTAAGAGATCATTGTGTTCAAGTTAGAGTACTGATTGAAGTGATGACAGATTTTCTAATTTGTCAAAGTTTAAAGAAGAGTTTACATTTCAGCAGGCAGTCCAGTATACTAGAAAGGCTTAGTGCAGAGTGCAAAATTGGATGCGACTCAGTGCAACACTGAGATTCAGTCTGTACCATAAGTTTGCTAGGTTCAAATATGTCCATCTTGTTGATAGTAAGAACTGCCGATGCTGGAGTCTGAGTTAACACAGTGTGGAGCTGGAGGAACACGGCAGGCCAGGTACCATCAGAGGAGCAGGAAAGCTGACATTTCGGGTCAGGACCCTTCTTCAGAAATGGGGGAGGGGAAGGGGTCTCTGAAATAAATGGGGGGGGCGCAGTGATAGCAGGTAGATAGTGGAGCGGATAGGTGGGAGAGAAGACAGACAGGTCAAGGAGGCGGGGATGAAGCTAGTAAAGGTGAGTGTACGTAGGTAGTGGTGGGGATTGGTCAGTGAGGTGGGAGGAGTGGACAGGTGGGAGTGAAGACGGACAGGTCAATGAGGCGGGGATTATAGGGGGGGCTGGTCTTGGGGTGAGGTCAGGGGTGGGGAGATTTTGAAGCTAGTAAAGTCCACATTGAGACCATTGGGTTGTAGGCTTCAAAGGGAAAATATGAGGTGCTGTTCCTCCAGTTTCTGGGGGGCATCGTGATGACACTGGAGGAGGCCCAGGATGGACATGTCGTCCAGGGAGTGGGAGGGGGAGTTGAAGTGGTTCGCGACTGGGAGGTGTTGTCACTTCCTACAGACTAAAGAGGTGGCCATGGGTACTCGCATGGGCCCAAGCTATGCCTGTCTCTTTGTAGGATACGTGGAACAGTCCCTCTTCTACAGCTACACTGGCACTATACATAACCAGAAGGAAGCAGCAGCGTCTGCCTCTAGCTCTCTGTAGTAAAAGTAATGGAAGCCTAAAGTAAGCCAGTAACTGTGAAACTGAACATTTAATGTATAAATCCCCTGTGTCTTTGGCAAAGAATTGAAAGAACCCGACAGGAAGGTCTTGGGAAGCTAAACGGATGCCTCATCAAAGCCTATGGACTGGTGCTTTGGAAATTTGTTTCCCCAGCTCTGTTTGGTTCCCCACCTTTAATGCCTTTTTCATGTCTGTCTGTATGCATCTGTTTGTATTTAGGAGTTTTAAAAGAAGTGTTACACTTTTAACTAGTAAAGTTGCATGTTGATTGTTCATAGTTTTTAAGTTGTGATTAGTATTTATTCACTTGTAATAAATAGTAGGTCTTGTTAAATAAAGAAACCTGGTCAGTGTTTTCTGTTAACCTGAGGCTATCAGACAGATAAACTAGTGACTTTTGAGTGCTTTAATTAAATCTTTAAATCTTATGATGGCCTCAAGATCACTGGGGCTTGAATATCAGCACACCTTCCCAAGTGGAGCACACTATTTAGCACCTTTTGTGAGATGTATGATCAGCTGTGCCATTGGGATATCACAGCAGTTCAGAAATTCTGGTGGCCAGAGAATCATTAAAGCAAGGGCCTGGGACAGGGTGCGCTAACCAGGCCCCAGGGCCCTAGGGACCTGTTATATTTGGGCCTGAACCAGGAACCGTACCAGGGCCATTAATTTCGTTCCCTGCCCCTGATTGGAGCAGCACAGGTTGGAATTGGATGTCAGGGTCCTGTAGAATCCATGATGCAGCTGACTCTGTGGGAATTGCCCAGGTAATGAAATTATCTGATGGGCAATGCCCCTGTTTCTGGAACTCTCCTAAAAAAGCCTCTTAAAGTCAGAAATTTCTGAGACTTCTGACTCAGTTAAACTTAATGCTTACCCAAACTGTACCTTCCCAACCCCATATAATCCCCAAACACCTCACAATCAATCCCAATTAAGCACCCTCCCTGTTCTAACTCAAGTTCACTCCCTGTCTCCTAACTTAAAGATCTCCCTACATGAATCCCACCCTATCCTGCCAGATATATATCCCAGCATCCCTGTAGCAAACCCATCCAGCTCACAACCTACCCTAGAACACATTCACTTAATTGCCACCTCGTTATCCTGCCTACCTGTACCCTCACCCCTCAACCAAATGCCACCCTAATTCCACATGCAATTTACCATATCAATCCTTCCGCAGGAGTTGTCAAAGTGTTTGGCCATGCTGCTGGACATGTCAATCACAGAACATGACTCCTTGAAACTGACATCACAGGTAGACAGGGTGGTTAAGAAGGTGTTTAGCACACCTGCCTTCATTGCTCAGACTTTGAGTATAGGAGTTGAGACGTTGACATTGTACAGGATATTGGTGAGGCCTCTTCTGGAGTACAAAACTGAAACCAAAAGAACTGTGGATGCTGTAAATCAGAAACAAAAACAGAAAATGCTGGGAAAGCTTAGCAGATCTGGCAGCATCAGTGAAGAGAAATCAGAGTTAACATTTTGGGTCCCGAATTGATGGTAACCAGGAAATTGTTAGTTTTTATACAGAAATTAGGGTGGATGAAGGGGATAAAGAATAAACCATGGGTGGGGATAGAGCTGAAAGAGAGAGAAGAACAGTTGGATAGACAAAAGAGTGCATAATGA